GGATCCAGCACCACAGTGGGGATCTGGGATCAGCGATCCAATTTTGGACTCCCCCAAACCAGCCACCCATCCAGCACCCACCGCCTGCCAACTGCAGCATTTTGGGGCCACAACCACCTGTTTCAGGGGGGTTTTGTTGCAGAGCGGAGAGCTCCGTTCCCGGCGGCCGCAGCGGGAGCCCTTGGCTGCGGTAACGCCGCGGCTTCCTGGCAGGCGGCAGGGAAAATAAACACCATCAAAAAATGGAACATCCCCATAACCCGAGATGACCGGGAGCGGCGTCGCAGCCGGGGGGGCGAGCCCTGGCCAGGGCGTTCCCCTTCCCCCCCCTACCCCCTACCCGGGGGATTTGGGATAAAGCAGGAGCCACGGAGCACAAGAAGGGGCGAGGAGTGCGGAGGTGGCTGGAACGGTGTGAGACCCCCACCCGAGCTCTGCTGGCTGGTGGTTTGTTATTTATTTGCTCATTTGCTTCTGTTTCGGGAGGCCAGGGATGGGAGCGGGGCAGGTTTTATTCCAGGAGGGGTGAAATTGTCTTGTGATCCCGATGGTTGTGTCCGATGGTGCTGGAGAGAGGGGGTTTTCGCCTCCTTTGCTTTTGGGGCAGCAGGGCTCTGTCCTCTCGTTTTTGCCCTTACTGCTGTGCTGGAGGGTGGGCAAATGCGTTTGCCCAATGTCAGTGGTTGGGGTTTGAGTTAAAATTTAAAAAAAAAAAACAACCAAAATGTTGCATGCATCACAAACATCACATGTTTATTTTAAGGTTAAAAATGGCAAAAGCAGAGTCCACTGGGTGATTAAAACCAGCCCAGGGACTGTGCCTGCAACTGGGAAATGCCCCTATGTCCCCTCTCTTTTGAGGCTCACCAGCTCCTGGCTTCAAAATCAGGTGCTGATCCCCAAAATCAGGCGGTGACCCCAAAATCAGGCACTAATCCCCATCCCCATCCACTTGGGTGCAGTGGGGGCTCTCAGAGGGTCTGATGCTGTGGCAGGGAGCGGGGACGTAGCACAGTGCTGCTCCTCGCCGTGCAGCTCGTCCTGCGCTGAACCCGTTAGGGATTAATCCCATAAATCACCCAGGGGTGCAGAGGTCAGCGAGAGCTGATCCGTGGAGATGAACAAGGGCAATGAATATTATGGGGCTCCAGCCTGGCCTCCCTTGGCCTTTTCAGGGCAGAAAGCTCTCAGGGATGACCAGAGCTGTTGCCAGAGGGAAATAAAACATCAAGATTTTGGGGGATAAACAGTCCTCAGAAATTACTCTCAGTGAGCAAGAATTCCTGCTCTTATCTGCAATATTTTCACCCCCATCCCAACCTGGGTTAAGTCGAAGCCTTTACATTCGATGTGATTCATGAGCAAATACCTGTTTCGTTTTCTGTTTCAACACTCAGGCTTTGCATAATGGTAGGAAGCGCGGCCGCTTTGCTTTTATTTTGGAGGGAGCCCCTTTTTTGCGGAAGGTGGATGGACGCCCCCCCGGGAAGCAGCCGCCGGGTGAGTCATCTCCGTGCAGAAATAGCTGTGCCAGGAGCCGCCACAGGATCCTGCCGGGATCTCTCTGCTCCCTACCCCGGATGGAGCCGCCTGCTCCATCCCACGCCGTGTGCCCTTGATGGGGTGATTTAGGGTGGGAGATTTGCTGGGTGCTTTTTTGGACAAGTGCTGCTTTATTAAGAGCCGCTCCCGAAGCCGTTATCTCCCTTTTCTGTATCTTAAGGGAAACAGCTCATGGGGTAAGGATGGGATTTGCACAACAGCCCCCTGAGGCTCCCTGAGAATTCCCATCCTGGAATAACTCTGGCTTAGATTTTAATTTTGCCTTTGCATAAAATCAAGGCACATTTGGGGACGATTAATAGCAGCGTTGGGGCTGGCTGAGAGCAGAAGCGTGGCAGGGATGCTCCAATCTCCTGCCAGTAGATGAGGGCAGCAATTGTCCAAGCTGACTTCACGGATTAGCGTTTTCCTTAGAAACCCCATAGAAAACGGTCTGGGGGCCTCTCTCCTCTCCCATGAAGGGGAAGCTGGGGGCTCTGCACTGGATTTATCCCCACTGGGGCTTCAGGGAGAGCGAAGCAGTGCTAGGGAGGTGGGGAGAGCTGCTGTGAGCTCTGCTGAGGTTGAGGTGTGCAGTGCTGCTTCCAACCCCTTGTTGGTCAGCTCTGGAAGGAGACAGAGCTAAAATGAGCCAGAAGAGACCCAACTGGCTTTTTCCCAGCTCAGAGGGGAGGTTTTTGTGTCCGTACCAAAAGGTTGATTCAGAAGAGGTGGTTGGGTGGGAGGTGTTTGGGGAACCACAGCTGATGGGACCATTGACTGCATGGAGGTTCAGGTCTGTTTGACCTCATCTGCCCCTAATCCACGATGGGTGCTGTCAGCCTCTCCTGTTTTGCAAAATGCGACAACCTTGGGCCCAGAAGAGCTTTTTTTGAGACAGGTCAGCTCCCCATGACCACGTTGTCCCTTTCAACTGCCCATAACGGTGTCCATGGAGTCAACCAGCTCTTCTAGGGCTGCTTTGGTGCTGCAACATCTTCTTGAGGCTTAGACCCACGTTATTTCCTCAGCGCTGGCAGCTCTTTAGAATATAATGACAAAAATTACAATTATTCTTTCTCATTTAATCTTTTTTTTCTGTTTCTCTTGGTTTGGACCTGAAAATTGTGGTGGCCAACCCCATTCCCAGGCTGTGGCTGTAGCATTATTTGCCTTCAGCCGAGGTCTGCAAATAAACAGCAGCTTTTGATGGAAGCTTCTACAAAGAAATAACCAGTGTTTGGCTTGAAGGCGTCACAAAGAGTCGCTTTTCACAAGATTTCAGCCCAGGGTTTAGTGGTGAGGGCCCTCTTCCTCCTGCCGTGTGCCACCTCGGCGCTGCACTTGTGGTTTGTTATTTTAGCAGAGTCATGAATCGCGTTTGTGCCCAAAATAGTTCGATGCTGGGCTTCGAACCAGGCAAATCCCACACAAGTCACCTTCAGCTGAAAAACTCTTCCTGCTGTCACGCTGATGGCAAAAAAAAAAAACCCAAACCCTCGCAGAAATCCTCCTCGCCCCAGCTAAGCTGAGCTACTGGTGCCCAGTTCAAATTTCCCGTCTCCCAGTGTGTTATTCCTCCCGCTAACCATCTGCTCAAGCTTCCAGCCGCGTTTGGCTGCGGGGCTGGGTTTTTTTTCTGAGGGTTTCCCATCGCTCTGCTCTCAGGGCTGTGGACCACAAGAGGTCGGCAAAAATCCGGAGACGTAACCCGGGCTCTGCCTTTGCTGCCTGCACGCCCGCTTTCGTGCCAGGATAATTACTCCATTAAAAGAAGCACCCCAAACTAATTACACTGGAAGAAAAATCAGGGCGGTTTTGGAACGGGGTATGTGTCACTGAGGTTTGTTGCCGAGCCGTCCTGCTGGCTGCTTTCACGTGCGGCAAAGCCCGGGTGCTGGGGGGAATTAAAAGGGATCAGCGGCATTAAACGGGCTCTGCCCGCTCCCCAGATTCCTCCGTTCCTGGTACGAAAGGTCCTGAGCTTGGGAGTTCGCTATGGGATGCTGAGCCAGGCCATGCCCAAAAGTGGCAGCTGAGGAAAACCCAAGCCATTTAACCAAACTCCCCTTTTTTTGTGTGTGATTTGCAGCCTGGCCAGCCCTAAGGGCTGCCTTCAGCGAGGTGCTGCCTGCAGAGGGATGCTCTTAAAATGAAAAGGTGCTGCGAGGGCGTTGGGCTGCCATGCCTGTTTAAGGTCAGTGCTGTCCTCACCTGTGTTGTCCCCCCTGGGGCAGGGGACAGGGATGGGGTCCCCATCCTGCAAATCTCTGGCTGAGGGAGGGACTGGAGCAGCCGGGAGCTGCTGGGGCCATGGTGGCTTTAGGGGAGGGTGGGCTGGGGCTCCCTGGCTTGGCACCATGTCGGCAACCTGGGTTTGGGTTGGGTTTAGAGGAGGGCAGGATGTGGCTTGGAGGCAACCCGAGATGCTCCAGAGCCTGCAGAGCCCAATTTAGGGGGAAACCAGCCCTAGATGATGGAGAAAAAACAACCTGGAAAATATTTTCCTCTGTCCTGGTAGCAAGAGGGGTCTGCGGGGACACAAACCCTTTTATGGAGGTGGGATAGGAGCAAAATGGGGAATAAATCCCTCCCCAAGGACCCTCCTCGCACCCTGAGGCACAGCCCGTCCCTGCGTCCCATGGGAGGACGTGTGCGGCGGTGGCGCGGCCCAGTGACCGCCTTGACTGCAGGAGCGGGATTAGCGGTGACAAAGTGATCCCTTTATAGGCAGGATAAACGCCTTAGGGCCAGGGCTGAGGGGTGGCAGCAGGGGATTAACCCCCCCCCACCAGGCCCAGCTGGGCTAATAAGCCACCTGAGGGTGAGGTAGCCAAGGAGCATCTTTGGTAGCCTCATGGTTGCCACCATCGCCGTGCCAGGGCCGAAGAACCAAACTGCCTTAATCTAATGGCTGAGCCTTATTCTTCCACCTCGCAGGGTGTGGGTATGGCCAGCCCCCGGCCCCCCAAATACCTCCTCGTCTTCGATTTCGACGAGACCATCATCAACGAGAACAGCGATGACTCCATCGTGCGGGCGGCGCCGGGGCAGGCGCTCCCGGAGCACATCCGGCAGACTTTTCGCGAGGGCTTCTACAACGAGTACATGCAGCGCGTCCTGGCCTACATGGGGGACCAGGGGGTCAAGATGGGGGACTTCAAGACTGTCTATGAGAACATCCCCCTGTCCCCCGGCATGCCCGACCTCTTCCAGTTCCTCTCCAAAAACCACGAGCTCTTCGAGATCATCCTCATCTCCGACGCCAACATGTTCGGCATCGAAAGCAACCTGAGGGCGGCCGGTTTCTACTCCCTCTTCCGCAAGGTCTTCAGCAACCCGTCCAGCTTTGACAAGAGGGGTTACTTCACCTTGGGGCCCTACCACAGCCACAAGTGCCTTGACTGCCCGGCCAACATGTGCAAACGCAAGATCCTCACCGAGTACCTGGCCGAGAGAGCCCAGGAGGAGGTGGAGTTCGAGAGGGTTTTCTACGTGGGGGACGGCGCCAACGATTTCTGCCCTTCCGTCACTTTGACTTCTGCTGATGTGGCTTTCCCCCGAAAGGGCTACCCCATGCACCGGATGGTCCAAGAGATGGAGAAGAAGCAGCCTGGGGCTTTCCAGGCCACTGTCGTCCCCTGGGAGTCGGCTGCAGAGGTCGCCCGCTATCTCCAGGAGCTGCTCAAGAAGAAGTGTTGAGGATGGCTCACGAGAGACTTGTTTCCCATAAGCAGCTGGGAAAGGAGGAGTTGTGGGGGGTGACGTCCTGCACCCCATCGCTCGCTCAGCCCCGCTCCTGGGCTGCTTCCTTGCCTTTCCCCTCCGAGCTCTGTCCTCCCGGTGATTAAAGCACTTTCTTTCCCCCCCCTCACCCCTTCTTCCTTGCCATGTTGAGACAAAGCCTTCTCTATGCAGCTCAGACATTACCCACCGTGGGTGTTTGCCAACACTAATGGTGATTTTTGGTTGGGTTTTTGGTTGTTTTTCTTTTTTCTAGCTCTTTTGGCTTCACAAGAGCAATTCCTGAGACACCGGCTCTCTGCGGGCTGGGCCCTGCACATGCTTCCTCCTCCTCCTGCCTTCCTCCTCCTCACTGGCCACACTGCGTGCTGTCACCTTGGACCTGATGCTCGAGGGCTCTGTGCCTCTTCGGGAGTCCACTGGGAACTTAATATGGGAAATCTGTGCTGCTTGGGCAGGGCAGCCCCTGGACACATTGTGATGAAGTTAATTGTCCCTAGAGACTTTAATTTCTGACAAAACACGATGTGAGGGACAGGAAACCTTTAGGAAAGGTGGTACCCTGGGATAAACACATCCCCAGCCACTTGCCCAGGGCATGGCGACCACATCCCTCTGTGGAGAGAGGGGCCTTCCACCTCCATCCTCTGCTTCTGCTTCCAGGGAGCCCTTACTGGTTGTCCCCTTGTGTTTTCCAGATCATATCAACCCCCTCCTTACCCAGGGGTGATCCCCCATGACCTGGGTGAGAGGTGCTGAGCCTCCCCTGGGAGGTGCGGTGCTGTGGCACTTCTGGCACCGGGTCCCCAGAGGCCAAACACACCCCCCCCATGTCCCCTTGCCCCGCTGCAGTATTAATTACCCCTTCTAATTGCACTCTGCATGGGGGTGGGAACCTACAGTATTCGCTGCTCTCTGGTGTTGGCTTCTCCTGGATTTATCCACAGCTTCTCCTGGATTTATCCACAGCCTTACCCCGGCTCCTGAGGGTGGCTCATAACCCCCAAAAAGTGTGGAAACCCCAACAGTAAGGATATAACCAAAGCAGCCCTGAGTTGTTCCCCCTCTGTTCCATTTCCCCCCCACCCCCTTTGTTCTTCCTCCTCTGGAGCCTGTTCAACTGTGTGGAACATAAAGCCATGGAATTAAAGAATAATGATACATATATATGTATATAGATATATACCTATATATTGCAGATATACACAAGTTGTTTGTATCCAGGACATAAACCTGGGTGTGAAATGGCT